AGAGAGAGAGAGAGAGAGAGAGAGAGAGAGAGAGAGAAATACAGGCACGAGCAAGAACGTATACAAGTCGCATGTACATACCAACACTCCCAGATTCAAAATAATAATATGAGGAAGAACACAAGGGGAGAAGTTGCGAAACTAACACAGCAACAACAATAAAAACGAGAAAGAAAAAGAAAACGGACAGAAAGACGCTTAAAAAGTGAGGACAGATAATAAGTAATGAATCTTCGGAATGTGTTTGATCAAATTTACATTCCACGGATTCGCCAATGAGCCCAGTTAGCTTTCCATTGGCAAATACATCTTGCCTCACGCTAGGAGCTTCTCTGTCGTCTTTGATGCATAGAGCTGGCGAGGGCTGGCAATGTGTCTGCCCAGCTTGGGAGAGGCTGATGACGCAGTAATAATCCGGGATACCATTCACAGGATCTATCATCAATGGGACAATGATTTGTGTGCTCTACTGATGAGGATTGGGGATGGGGGAAGGTGGTGCGTGGGGCGGGGGGGGGAGGTTATTTCTCTTGCTCACCTCGTTCTGTCTTTCTTATTTCTCGCGCTTGTTCTTTCGTTCTCGTTATTTGTGTTTCTCTTGCTGTTTCTGTCTGTCTGTCTGTCTGTCATCTCTCTCTCTCTCAGTTCGTTTCTTATTTTCTCTCTTGAACACACACACACACACACACACACACACACACATACACACACACACACACACACACACACACACACACACACAAACGCACACACACGCGCGCACGTGGGCTCACGTTCACAAACATAAGAACGCACGCACATCCCCAGAGTACAAAATAGTGACCTAGTTGAGAGAGTACATAATATAGATCTATTTCTTTAAAACAAAAATTCAAGTTAGAGCAATGCTAAAGCTGTCAACCCACTGTATTCTTTTGGGAACATTTCTTTTTTTCTTTTTTCCTTTGTTGTTGGTAAGTGTTTTACGGCGTTTGCAACTGCATAAGGTCATACGTGCAACTTGACACGTTAAACATTTTCAATCCGTAGAAAATTTTGAATTTTGCCCAGGTGGCGGCCGAAGACTACTCTCATCGATTTTGGACAACTAAGGGATCTAGTGGGTTAAAGCTGGGGCGACCATCCCCGACCCACCGCGTCCACAGGTGGCGGATAGTGGAACGGCCTACATTATGTAGGGTAGCTGCGAATAACCAATAAGCAGTCGCGGACCAACTGGCGACAGTCTTGGAGAGCGAGGTGGGACAGGGTGGTGGCAACCCTGTCTCTATAAAATACCTTATGTGCTCAGTAAAGAGACTGTCAGGCGAGAGGGAGGCGCCGAAACCTGCCACCTGCCCCCACTGCCTTGTGGGTTAGTCCTTTTGGACAAAGGCTAGAGGAGTAAACCGTACAAAAATCCAGCAGAAGGCAAGGGGAAACCACTGCTGTATTCTCTCCCTAGAACATTATGGATCATATCACTTCAATAAATAAAGATAAAGACGTAAAGGGGAGTTCTGAAAGAACTGCCTCGTCCGGTAGGGTCAGTCATGCACAGCAGGTGACACCAGATCGTCATCAAGATACTGCTCACAAAAGGAAAAATCAAACAAGAAACATAGCAACCTGGAATGTGAGAACATTGCTAGAGAAAGGAAAACTGGACAACATCAAGAAAGAAATGAAGAGAATGAATGTTAACATCATGGGTTTATGTGAAGTACGATGGACAGGAGCTGGCAGAATAGTGTCCGACAGATATAACATCATTTACTCAGGAGGCGACAAACATGAAAGAGGAGTAGCGGTCATCATGGACATGCCAACATCGAAGACACTAAAGGGGTACCTGACAATATCAGACAGAGTTATGCTGGTGAGACTGAAAGGATCACCATTCGATACAACCATCATCCAAGCATATGCGCCAATCTCAGAAAGCACAGAAGATGAAATAGAGAAATTTTATGATGAAATAAACCAAGCAAAGACACATTGTAAATCACAAGATATTGTCATAGTCATGGGTGATTTTAATGCAAAAGTGGGAGCAATAAGACATGAAGACATAGTGGGTCCATATGGACTGGGAAACAGAAATGAAAGAGGAGAAAAACTGTTAAAATGGGCCATCCTGAATGACATGATTATTGGAAACACTTGCTATGAACAACCACCAAGAAGATTATGGACCTGGAAGAGTCCTGGAGACAGCGCTCGCAACCAGATCGACTATATCATGATCAAGAAAAGATACAAAAACGGGATGCTCAATGTCAAAACGCGGCCAGGTGCAGACTGTTACAGTGACCATGTACCCGTAGTGGGAAAATTTAGAATCAGATTGAAAAAAACACACATGAGCAAGAAAAAGAATATGAAACTAAACATGGCCATACTACAATCAAACAAAGAAATGCAAGATAAATTCAGAATAACTGTACAAAACAAATTCGCTCCCTTAGAAGAAATACAAGACATAGAAAAACAATGGGAACTGCTTAAAACATCTATAAATGAGGCTGCAAAAGAAGTCATACCAGAAAAGACAACAAAAGCAAAGAAGAAATGGATGACTGAAGAAATTCTTAATCTTATGGAGGAACGAAGAATAAACAAAAACAATTTGGAAAAATATATGAATCTTCATAAAGAAATCAGACACAAATGTAATATAGCAAAAGAGACCTGGTTAAAAGAAGAATGTGAAGAAATGGAAAATCATTCCAATGCGAACTCAAAAGATCTACACAGAAAAATTAAAGAGGTGTGCCATACAAGAACACGTGGATCAACAGGATGCCTCAAATCAAAGAATGGGAATATCATAATGGACAGAGACAAGATACTAGAACGTTGGACAGAATATATCGGTGACCTGTATAATGACAAAAGAGATGAACAAAGAAGAGTGGAAAATAACAACGAGGGACCACCAATCATGAAAGAAGAAGTTGTCAAGGCACTACGAAAGATGAAGAATGGGAAAGCGGCAGGACCGGACAACATCACCACAGAGATGATTAAAGCTTTAGAAGACTTTGGAATCACCACACTGACAAAACTTCTTAACAACATATATGCCACTGGACATATTCCATCAGACTTGTCAAAATCTATCTTCATAGCTTTACCAAAGAAACCCAATGCAAACGAATGTGAAACACATCGAACCATCAGCCTCATGAGCCACATAACAAAAATATTACTCAGAATAATTATGATGAGAATAAGAAATAAAATTCTCCCAGAAATAGCCCAAGAACAATGTGGATTTATTGAAGGAAAAGGCACTGTAAATGCCATATATGTCATCAGAACAACAATAGAACGTGCCCTAGAAGTTCAGAAAGATCTTCATTTATGTTTTATAGACTACACCAAGGCATTCGACAAAATCAGGCACGACAAGATCATCGACATGCTGGAAGTTCTTAATATCGACGGGAAGGACTAACGGATTATCAAAAACATGTACTGGGATCAAACAGCTGCAATGAGAATAGAAAACGACATCAGCGAATACATACAGATTAAAAGAGGAGTCAGACAAGGATGTGTACTTTCTCCAGACTTGTTCTCCCTGTATAGTGAAAATATCATGAGACACATAGAAGAAATGCCTGGTATTTCGATAGGGGGACCTAATATAAACAATCTAAGATATGCAGATGACACAGTCCTAATAGCAGAAGATAAAAAAAACCTGCAGAATCTATTAAATGTCATCGTACAAGAGAGTGACAACATGGGCTTAAACCTAAACATCAAGAAAACCGAAACGATGGTGATAAGCAGAAATACTCCAATCCCAACATGCAATATCAAAATCAATGATACCACCCTCAAGCAAGTACAACATTTTAGATATTTGGGGACCATTATATCATCAGATGGTAGATGTCACACCGAAATTAAAAGCCGCATTTGCCATGCAAAAGCAACCTTCCACAAGATGAAACAGATACTAACAAACTTCAATCTGTCACTGGAAATGAGGAAAAGAGTAATGAAAAGCTACATCGAGCCAATCCTATTATATGGGTGCGAAGCATGGACAATCAATAAACAGCTGGAAAAAACAATTGTTGTGGCAGAGTTGTGGTTCATGAGACGCATGCTACGTATCCCATGGACAGCTAGAAAAACAAATGAAGAAGTCCTGGTTGAAGCAAATTATAGAAAACAACTTATCACGAATATAAGAAAACGACAGGCAAATTTTGCGGAAAGAAGCATTGGAGAACATTGTAACAACAGGAAAGTTTGATGGAAAGAGAGGTAGAGGCAGACAGAGGGAAAAGATACTGGACAAGATGACAACATGGCTGGGAGCAGCAAGAACAACAGACACCATTGCTGCTTCGAAAGACAGATGGAAGTGGAGGTCCATGATTGCCCACGCCAGTCGGCAAGGCACCGGATGATGATGATGAAGGGATCTTTATCGTGCTCAACTTGCACACGGAATCTCCGAGATTTTTCACCCTCTCCCGAGAAGATAAGAGTAGATTTTACCATAAGATCAGGGGTATGGTTGAAATACAGCAGTAAGAAGGAGTTAAGGAGCTAAGGAGTAACAGTAGAAAGGCTGCAGAAAGAGTCTGGAGCCCAGAGAGCAGGAAAGGATGTGAAATAATACAAATGTTTGAGAAGAAAACTTTCAGTTCGCTATCCGGATTCGAACCCGGGACCAATTGAATGAGTGGCGAACTTCTTAACCTCTAGACCACGAGAGCAAATCCTTAGGGAAAATAATAGTGTTCAACGAAATCTCCACTTACACTACAAAATATTGAACAAAAGGGCTGCATTGCATGGACTTCCTGTTCTGTGCTTAGCGCATCGACCGCTACGTAATAGAAACAAGCCGAGTTCCAATACTTTTCCTTAACAAATCAAAACACAACCTTGATTAATTGTTCTGATTTCAAGCAACGACATCTAATTTTGTTTCTTTAAAAGTTTGAACAACATTCCAAGAGGTACCAAAATACAGAAATTCTCCGTTGGTAGCTCTGAATATGTCACACATCGGACACAGGAGGTGTATAAAAATAAGACAGATTCGAATTGCCAGCAGATAGGTAGGCAATCAGACTGACCAACTGATCGGAAACTTTGACTGATTAAGTGATGTGGCAGTAGTAGTGCAATGATAGATAGATAGATAGATAGATAAATAGATAGAATGATAGATAGATAGATAGATAGATAGATAGATAGATAGATAGATAGATAGATAGATAGATAGATAGATAGATAGATAGATAGATAGATAGATAGATAAACAGATAGACTGTCCTTATTAACCCGTCATTGCAATGCAGGTTCACATACCCTCTCGAAACATTGTGTACACGGCTCTCTCTCTCTCTCTCTCTCTCTCTCTCTCTCTCTCTCTCTCTCTCTCTCTCTCTCTCTCCCTCTCTCTCTCTCTCTCTCTCTCTCTCACTTTACTCACTAGACTAGATAGATAGATAGATAGATAGATAGATAGATAGATAGATTGATTGATAAACAGATAGATGGATGCATAACTAGATAGATAGATAGATAGATAGATAGATAGATAAATAGATAGATAGACTGTCCTTATTAACCCGTCATTGCAATGTAGATTCACAAAACCTCTCGAAACATTGTGTACACGGCTCCCCCCCCCCTCTCTCTCTCTCTCTCTCTCTCTCTCTCTCTCTCTCTCTCTCTCTCTCTCTCTCTCTCTCTCTCTCTCTCTCTCTCTCTCTCTCTCCCTGCCGTAGGGCTATTGTATAGATTTTCTGCCGTGCCAACTTTCACCGACTCCTGTTGTGGAAGACATAGGGCAGCGGAACCCACGTTTTCTTGCTAAATAATCTAACTTCCCACCCCTTTCCTCTTCCTCGAGTGTTGTCTATTTACTTTACAAATTTTGTTTTCAAGACATTTCCTATTCCTTGAATTGTGTTTGAATAGATGCAACATAAAATCATTTCCTGAGAAAGCATGTAGCATTTGGAGTGGGTAAACAGTGTAGTACGGTCCGAAGAAAATATTCCTTTTATTGATCGAAATTTTACTCGAAATTTTTATCTGCTGTTTTGTTTCCCTACAACACCCAGCCCTCTCATATGTGTCACGACATATTGGAATCAGGTGCTCGTCAATTTTGGAGCATATGGAATAATATCTTTGGTATCATCTTAAAGCCTGTCTATTTGTCTTACTGTTGATGAAAAGAAATACCCATCTATCTTGAAACGTAATCGAGATAATGTGCCTTTAAAGGAGGTGGGGATCGCCTGGTTTCAAAGGAAAAATTTACTCAAAATGTGCCCACCAAAGTTTGGTGACTTCCAAGCGTGTGTGTCCTTAGGAGCAAAGAAAAAATAACCACATGCATTATTATGCCTTTGATTAACGTCTTTTAGTAAAATCCACACCGAAATGTGTTTTTCAAAGACATCATCTTTTTAATGTATTGAGTCACGGAAAAAATCGATAAAGATTGCCCGATAGGTAGAATAATAGCGGTTTCTTTGATTTCAATAGATTACGAGCACTTGATTTACCCACGATGACACCCATATCGTCCTTTTGAGCAACTTTGGAAAAAACAAATTTCTCGTAATGTCATGAATATAAAAGATCACGCCGCTATTCACTAGAGATTAGTGTCAGTGGATGGACAATATTCTTCTTTTTTTTAAGCTCCGGTCAAGCTAACCTGGAGTGCAATATCTTCTCTGGGCGTTCTCTTTACATTTATCTAAGTACAAGTAAGTGTATGGTTTTAACGCCTCTATCAACACTTTTAGGTCAATTAAGAGGCGAAACCTCTTAATCTAACCTCCATCTCCGATAGGCCCAAGCCAAATAGGGCGAGAGCCTTGAAACTCCTCAAAACACCCAGTCTGGGACTCGAATCTGGACCATCCGCCCTGTAGTCCAGCATTTTACCAACTGGACGAAAAGAGAAGTTGTTTTCGAATTTGAAATCGACCCCCAAAAAACTAACCTGTGTCTATAGTATAGGGAAGCGGTTGGGGGCTTCGCTGTCGCACGCAAGAGACCCGAGGTCGGTTCCAGAGTGCGAAGACTTCACGTTCTTTCTGATGGGATGACGTATCACCCTCAGCTCTGTTTGGCCCTGATTGCCAGGGTCAGAAGCCTGCTTCCTAAATTATTTAAATATTGTTAAGGGGGAGTTACAAACAACTGCCTTATCATAGTAATGATAATATAATAACCACGATAATAATAATAATAACAATGATGATTATGATAATAATATTAATAATAATAATAATAA